TTCGGTTGAAGACCATAGCCCCTGGGCTGTGTGGTGGGACATTTGTGCACCCCACCCTGTGAGGGATGCATCGGTAGTCATTATGAGGGATGGAGCATCCTGGAGAAAGAGGACTCCTAAGAAGAGGTTGGAGGGAACTGTCCACCATAGGAGAGAGTCTGACTCTGAAAGGTATGGATAGAGGCTTGTTTAGAGTGTGTACATTCGGTCTGTAAACCATGGCCAACCAAGCTAGGAAGCACCTCAAATATAGTTGTGCATTTTGGACCACGAAAGTGCACTGGGCCATGTGACCTAATAATTGTAGATAGTCTCGAGCGGTGACTGTTGCGAAGTTTCGTTCCCAATAGCTTTATGGTGTTGAAGCGATTGGGTGGGAGAGATGCTATTCCCGTCTGGGAGTTGGGGTGTGCTCCTATGAACTCCAGGTGCTGGGTAGGAGACAACGTGGATTTGTTTTTGTTTATTTGTAGGCCGAGGGACAGGAAGCAAGCGACGGTGAGCTGCATGAATCGAAGCGCTTCATCGAGCGTTGAGGCTTTGAGTAGACAATCGTCAAGGTAAGGAAATATTATGACCCCTTGTTTCCTGAGGTAGACAGTGACTACGGCTAGGAGCTTGGAAAAAACATGGGGGGCGGTGGATAGGCTGAAGGGTAGCATCCTGTATTGAAAATGTGTAGAGCCGAGGGTAAAACAAAGGAAACGTCTGTGGGCCAGATGTATAGTAACATGAAAATAGGCGTCCTGTAGGTCGAGGGCTGAAAACCAATCACCCTGCTCCAGCGCTGGGATTATGGTGGTGAGGGTAACCATTCTGAACTTTTGCTTTTTGATGAATTTGTTGAGCCGCCTGAGGTCGAGGATTGGTCGCCAGCCCCCGGTTTTCTTTTCTGTTAAGAAATAATGGGAATAAAACCCTTTTCCTCTGTGTTGTTCGGGCACGACTTCCACTGCTCCCAATAGAAGGAGATGTTGTACTTCTTGGAGGAGCAGTTGCTCGTGAGAGGGGTCCCTGAAGAGGGACGGGGAGGGTGGGTGGGTGGAAGGCAAGGATATGAAAGGGATGGAATAGCCAATTGTGATTACCTCTATAACCCACTTGTCGGTGGTAATGTTCTGCCATTGATGGGAGAATGGCCGTAAGCAGTGTCCAAAAATAGGGACATGGGGTGTAAGTGCTGAAGTGGGAATGTTGTTTTCTAAATCCTCGACCAAGGCTTCAAATCTGCTTATTAGTCGGAAGAGGTTGAGACGCTGCCGAGGAATTGGGACGACGACGCTGGTATCTGGGTTTCTGGCGTTGCTGTTGTTGCTCATGTGATCTATGGAAGTGCTGGGTATATGCGGGGTAGCATGGACGCTGGTAAGGTTGATATCTATATTGTCGCCTTATGGTTATAGGGGTTTGAATTCCTAAGGACTGGAGAGTTGCCCTTGAGTCCTTCATTGAATGGAAGTACATCATTCGTTGTGGAGGCAAGAGTTTGTCGCCATCAAAGGGAAGATCTTCAATGGTATTCTGGACCTTTCGAGGAAAGGAAGAGGAGGAGCGCCATGAACCTCGGCACATGATCACTGCTGTAGCAGTGGATCTTGCTGCAGTATTGGTTGCATCGAGGGCCGCTTGAAGAGTGGTACATGAGATGATTTGTCCCTCGGAAACTAGAGCCGTGAATAATTGTTTCTTTTCTTCTGGAATGTCATCAATAAAGTCCATGAATTTGTTGTAATTTTTGTGGTCATATTTTGCCAGAACGGCAGTATAATTAGCAATGCGAAATTGTAACGTAAAAGATGTATATACTTTACGTCTGAGCAGATCTAATCACTTACTGTCCTTGTCGGATGGGGTGGAGCGGGGAAACTGGTGTTTGGTCTTTTGGTTGACTGCATTTACTACCAGCGAGTCTGGCACTGGATGAGTGAAAAGGAATTCAGAGCCCTTGGAAGGGATGAAGTACTTGCGGTCCGCTCGTTTACAGGTAGGTAGGCTTGCAGCAGAGTCTGTCAGATGGCCGTAGCAGGTTCCAAAAGGGCTGCCTTGATCAGTAATGCAATCCTAGAAGAAGAGGGCTGCAGGATGTCCATTAACTCATGCTGCTGTTTAGGAACCTCCTCCAAGTTAATTCTTAACTCACTGGCAACTCTTTTGAAAAGGTCTTGAATTTTTGAGAAGTCATCCGAAGAAGTCGGGGGAGGAGAAATTAAGGCTTCATCAGGCATAACAACTGGGTCTACTGGATTTGAGGCAGGTCATGACCGATCCTGCAGTTGTGACGGTGCTGCCTGATGCCTTACGTCAGAGGCAGGTTCGTCAAGGCAGTGCCGGGCAGGTGTCATGCCTGGCTGTGGTGGCATAGCGAGTGTGGTCTTGAAGATAAGATGCCCATGGAGCCCAATATTGCCACTGTGGTGGGAAGGGAAGAGGTGGTGCCATCCAGGGGTTCACACACCACGAGGCAGGATCCTGAGAGTAGGACGAGGTAATTTTTCTATGACCTCTGAGGATGGGAGATTTGATATGGTGAAAACTCCCCCTGAAGACCAGCTTCCTCATCACTGGAGGAAGGCTGTGCGGACCCTGACTGAGCATTTGGAGAGAAGTAGGCATTAAGTAGGGGTGACTGCAGGATAGGTGACACCAGCCGGTCCCTTGACTGTGTAAATTGCGGTGCTGGAGCTCCTCTGTGAGGTGAGGGCTGTGCAAGAGGAATCTGCTGTGAAGAAAAGTTCCTCTGCACCGGTGTCTTGAGCATTGTTTCACTGCCAGTCAGCTCAGCCGGTGCCGGGAGAGCAAGAATAGCCTGCGGAGAGTCAGGCATGTCAGCATGTGTCGGCACTGCTTCCTTTGCGGTGCCGAACGGTGCCATGAGAGAGGCAGGCAACTGAAAGCCTGAAGTCTCGGCACCGGAGTTTTGTGCTACCGCCGCAGCCGCAGGCGGGTTTCACACGGCACCAGAGGAGCCCAGAGCATCAAAAGTGCTCAGCCAAGAGGGAGGCTGTAGACCTGCCCGGGGAAGTCTTCTCCTACGAAGTTCCCTTTGCGGGTGAGAGAAGGTGCCGTTCTTTGAAGTTTTTTTATCTTCCTTTGAGGTGGTGGTGGTGGGGGGGGGAGGCTGTGGTGTGCAGCGGAGTCACATCCAGGTTTAAGCTGACCCTAAGGATTTCTGAAAGAGGAGCGTTTTAGTCTCAGCTCCCTGTCCTTCCATTCCCTGGATTTAAGCTTGCTGCAGCGGGCAGATTTTTGGGGGATGTGGGACTCCCCCAAACATTTTATGCATTTTGAATGGCCATCCGAAAGAGGGATGGCATCATTGCAGGTAAAGCAGCGCTTAAAAGCCTGGGGAGCCAGACATGTCGGAAGCGGCTGCCTCTGACAGGAACGAAGAAAAAAAAAATATTTATTTATTTTGAGAGAGAGAGAAAAGATAGAAAAATGGTAACTACCGTGTTTCCCTGAAAGTAAGACATCCCCCGAAAATAAGAGCTACTTCCAGTTTTGCCTCTCGCTGTAATATAAGGCATCCCCCGAAAATAAGACCTCCCCGCTAATAAGGCCACCCCGGAATATAAGGCCCCGAAGCTCCAGGAAAAATAAGACCTCCCCTGAAAATAAGACCTAGCGCATCTTTGGGAGCAAAAATTAATATAAGACATTGTCTTATTTTCGGGGAAACAGGGTAAGTACTACTGGTAACAAACTAACTAACCAGGAAGGAATTTGAACAAAAGGAGAGAAAGTCTCTAATGAGTCTGCTGAGCTCCGTCTCAGGCCAGGGATGGTAGAGAAGGAACTGAGGAGACCGGTCGCGCACACATACTATTAAGGTACATTCAGAGCGGAGGGGGGGAGGGGGCAGGCTCTGCGCGTGCGTGACCGGTACGAGTACTGCTGTAAAAATCTCCGAGCGAAGGCACAGCAACGCACCAACACCTGGAGTGGAGCAACCACAGGAACATCTCTCGAAGAACCACCCAATTTTTAAAACATAAGGTAAAAGTGTCCAAAGGAATGCACAGACTAAAACCTCCATCCAGCTATTCTTGGTCAAAAGACAGGCGTTCTTTATGCAAGGCCTTGAGATTATTTAGGGCAAATGCAAGGGATGGGAGGTTTACACCTTAGGGTGGCAAAGGCAGAGAACATTGTGCATTATGACTGCACCTCTCATCTCAGGATCAGAGAGCACTTTAAAAACATTCATCCATCATCAAAACCCCTCAGTGAGGTAGGAAGTTTAGCTGTTCAGGTACTTTTTAGTGTCCAACATGGCGTTAACATCTGGGTGCTTTACAGACTTAAAAAAACAACAACCCTAACCTACCCATAACGGTAACCTAAAATCCCAACCACGGCTGCTGACAGGAAACACTTGTACCCAAACTGCCATTACACAATCACAATAACGTTGGCAATTTGCCCCAAACAGGAGTATACCTACATGGAAGGAGGCACAGAGGGTTTAAATGACTAGCCTGAGGGCACATAGAGCCTGGGGCCTGATCCAAAGGCCACTGATGACTCCCACTTACTGCAATGGACTTTGAATCAGGCTCATAGTGAGTTAAGAGATAGGGGTGGTAACAAAACCCAGGAATCTTGATTGCCAGTTCCCTGCTCTAAGCACTAGAGTCAACTGCATCATTGATTATATATGTTCTCCAGGAGTTTGGGGTCTAGCTAACATGATTCAGTCTCATTGTACACAAACTGTTTTGAAGTAACAACAATGGTGCTTGCTGTAGCTTTACAGCAGTGGTTTTCAACCTTTTTTCATTTGCAGACCCCTTTGGAAATTTTGAATGGAGGTGTGGACCCCTTTGGAAATACATTGTCTGTATATATACATCTCTACCTCAATATAACGCTGTCCTCGGGAGCCAAAAAAATCTTACTGCATTATAGGTGAAACCACGTTATATCAAACTTGCTTTGATCCGCCAGAGTGCGCAGCCCCGCCCCCCCCCGGAGTGCTGCTTTACCGCGTTATATCCGAATTCATGTTATATCGGGTCGCGTTATATCAGGGTAGAGGTGTAGCTGAATTCTGTTCAGCCAGTTTTCAGTCTAAGTCTTTCATGGACACTTTAGACATAGTCCGCGGACCCTGGTTGAGAACCACTGCTTTAGAGTATGAGATAATAAATCGGAGGGAAGAAGAGTAACAGAAGGTACACTAGTTTTTGGATTTTCAGTGACCACCAGTCCCAGGCCTTGAATTGGAAAGAGAATCACAATGGTTTTAAAGTTCTGTTTTCAAGTGTTTGGAGACAATCTCATCATAGTTTTTCCTCCTCTTAACTTTGTAAGTCAGAGCTTTAGAGTATTCAGTCAGCAGAGTCTCCCAGTAACAAGAGACATCCTCCATCTGCAAGTGGTCCATGATGAACTGGTGCCCCCTGGAGGCAAACAAAAATAAAGTGACAGCTCAAAGTCAAACTTTGTTCCTGTAAGATGAAAAATCCTTGGATTTAGCTATTTTAATATCAGTTTTCCCAGATTTTTTTTTAAATGGGGAAACATGAGAATTTGGATGTACAGTGCTATATACTGTTTATTATTAATATTTATATGACACCTTTCATTACCACTAGCAGCTCTGATGACTAATTATTCACAAGACAGGTACAGCCTAGGGAGTGGCACTGCAAGCTTCCCCTCATTGCCCCACCTTCCTCTACATTGCCCTGTTTGACATTTATTGGCAGTGGTGGTGGCAGCATTTTTGTGAAATGGACATTTGTTCACTGGGGCTAACTCATTTCGTACAGTGAACAAAAGTTATCAGTATCTGATACCTCTTTGGGGGACTATTGACATGGATCAGATTTGAACAAGAGGCCTAGAGGTGAAGAGTTCTGTTATCAATACCCTGCACTCGCCACTCTCCCTGCTTTCACTGCTGAAGATAGATACATTGTGCGCTGTTATCACCAGGCTGTCCTTGACAGGTATCTCTTTTGAATGCTGGATGGTACAAAGAGTATTGGAGGATGGGTGTTTGACAATCAGGAAGAATACACAATTTACCTCTCTGAAATTTCTTGTGCTACATCATCATTTTCTTTCACAAACTGCAACAGCTCCCTAAAAGGAAAAAGAAAAATTGCAACTAAGTATTGGCTCAGTGCATAATACCGCACACCCAGCTAGTGTGTTGTGGCAGAACTAGACTTGGGGATCCTGAAGCCAAGCATGTGATTGGTGCTGCTACTTTCATAACCAAACTTTCATACCAGTCTTGGGGGGAGGGCAAAGGGGAAATCTGAATTCTGGCAGCTGACAAACGTTTGGAACCATTAACGGCTAAGATGACTGCTCTCCTTTTTACTCTAAGTCAGAAATTCTGAGTCTCAATTTTCACTTCTAACCTTTTGGTTCAAGGTGTGCTGAACATCGGAGACATCCTCCTGGCCCAGATCTCAGAATAGATATTATTACTAAAAAGGTAAGGCATAATCAAAAATACCCTCAATAATCGAACTTATGTTAGAAGAATGTCAACATTTATTGTGTGCCTCTAATGAGCCCAATAATATATTCTTCTTCTACATGTCTATGGCCCTAAACTATTTCCTGTATGACTAATATGCACTGAGAATTTTGTTTGTTTCTTTTACAAAGAAAGGAGAATGACACATATACATCCCCTCTGTCTAAGGGATCAGCAAATGCCACATGATGTTCTTTCTACCTTTGGTGCACTGAATATGAGCAGAGCGTGGGTATTTGTCAGTATAACCCAAGCCTGATCATACCTTGAGTAGCATGGGTAGCATAGAGTCCACTGCATGAAATACTCTGCATAACACACTTGGGATCATTGAGTCATTCCAGAAAATCACCTGTAGTCTCCTACCTGACATCAGAGAGGTCTGGTTTGACTGGGATGTAATGTACCCAAGGCTTCAGCTGTGGGTAGAAGAACTCCAGCCACTCTTCCCCTACGTGAAAGACTAATGAGCCACATAAGAAGAGGTGTTTGAAGCGGAAACTGGCTGCTACCCCCCGGAAATTAAACAGGTATCTGTAAAAAGAGAAGCAAAGAGAAATGTGATTTTGTATTGGCATTCCCCATCCACTAACTCAGGATTTTTTTAAATCACTTTTTTGAAACGTTGGCTGCTTTTTAAAATCTGAAATGCTAAGTGCCCTCACCTCAAATGAAAAAATGTGTGTGGAGAGACTAGGTTCTAGCTAACAAGTTTGCATTTTCCATCCCCCCTGCCTCTGATGTAAGAACTCGTGAGAAAGTGAGAACAAAGACACTTCACCTGCCAAGGTCAGATTTCAGGTTCCTTATTTCCCTGTTTACATTTTATAGCATTACTGAGTCCTGTACCAGACCAAGAACTGCATTTCTTATGCCATGGAGATTAGCGATATAAACAACTGTAGAGAACCCTGAACTCAGGGTTCGGTAGGGAAATAAAAAGGACACGCTTAATTTTAAACATTTTGGTTTAAGGGAGGCTTTTGTAGTTAGTTTCCACAGAACCCTTCAGTTCTCCTTTACATTCCAGACTTGGCAGTCTCTTGACACTGACATTTAAAGAGGCCAAACTAAGCTCTCCCAAACCTTCAATTGACTCCACATAGGTGCAGAGATCTGACTGCCTGCATGGATTCAGTTGCAGGATTGGGGCCTTAAAAAGAAAATGACGCATTAAAACAAACAAGCCTAGCAACACTAACAATCAGACAAGATTTCAGCAGCTCCTGAACAGATTTATTGAGCAAAACCTCACTTGTATTTGCAGTGATCGACCAGAGGAATTTCCTTCGCAGGCGGTTTCCCAAGAGTGTCCTTCAAGAAAAAGAGACTTAAAAAATTAATTCAGTTCAATTTATTTTCTGATGACATTTTGTGTGAGGCTTCTTTTTCAACAAACCATAAATAAGGCTGAAGTCTCAAAAGTCCCCCTGGTCATAGGAAACCAGTTTGGCTTCTAATTGCATTAGCATCTTTGGGGGCCTCTCTCATCTTTACCTGAGAAATATTCTCCATACGTTACAAACATTCTACGAACAAATCTCTTACTTAATGACTATAAAGAGGGTTGGGCTTTAGCAATTCATTTTCCTCATCTCTGTGTGCACTGGAACTTTTAAGTTAATAGTGCTGGGGGAAAGTGTTGTTGGTTAGTGTCCAGGAACTGTCAAAAAGCCTCCAACTTGTCCACAGAAGAGTTAACAGTCAGCCGCAGTGAGAGCTTCCCCCATCACAGAGGAAGGGTTGCAACCTCCTGAGCAGACGCAGATAGCAAAAAGCCATGTTGGTCACTGACTCCCAGACCCCCATCCTCAGCAGACAGGCAGCAGATACACACACCTCAATCACGGGGGCCAAAATAATCTTTGCTACTGTCTCTGGTTGCTTCTCCCACATGTCCAAAACCTCAGTGAACAACAATGGCTTAAACTCGAGCAGAGACCGCCCAGCCCTCCGTCCCCTAAAGAGCCTGCTCTGCTACCACAGTCTGAATCTAAGTGATTGTCTTTGCAAACTGACAAGAATTTTCCTCACTAATAATGAAATACCTCAGTCCAGCTTCCTAGAAGCTGCAGGGGCAAAATGCCCTCAGTGGGTCAGATCTTTCTTCTCAGAACCGTAGATGGTTGTTATGGGCAACAGTTCCTCCACAGCCCTCATGCGTGGAGTCCCATGGGGCTCTACCCCTCCCCTCCCCACTATTGTTCAGCACATATATGAAGCCTTTGGGGGAGCAGGTCAGACAACCTGGGCTGAAGTGCCAGCCATTTCCAGATGACAGCACCCAACTCTATATCAAACATGAGCAGCACAGTCTCCCAGATTTCTCAATGCCTCGCCAAAAGCAGCACCTGAAAAAAGGACAGCTGGCTAAAGCCAAACCAAGGGAAGAATGAGACTAATGCTGGTAGAAGAGGGAAGAACTTCAAAGAACTTGCTTCCCCCACTATTGAGGGCATCTGCCCTCGGTTTGTTAAGTCGGTCTCTAGCTTTGGGGTTCATTTGGACAGATTAAGGCTACTAGATGCTCAAATAACCAGGGGGGCAAAAGATAAAAAGAAGATTGTGCTCTAGTCCATCAAACACAGACTGGGCTACAGCAATCCATGAGTTCATGACCTCCAGGTCTGGTTACTGCAACTCTAGGACTGAAGCCACCCACCCTGGGAAAGCTCTAACTGGAATAAAACACCAGTAGCATCACAGGTCACCCTGACCACATCCCTCCAGTGCGCCACTCTCTATATTCAGTAGGGAGTGCATGCAGAATTCACTCCAAAGTAGGGTGACCAGACAGCAAATGTGAAAAATCGGGACAGGGGTGGAGGAGTAATAGGAGCCTCTATAAGAAAAAGACCTAAAAATCAGGACTGTCCCTATAAAATCGGGACATCTGGTCACCCTACTCCAAAGTCCTTTCCCTGCTATTCAAAGCCCTCTGTTGGATTGACCATAGCTACCTGGGAGGGCCTCTCTCCCTCTGAGCTCCCACAACAGTGAAACTATCGACCACCAGGGGGAGGTTCGCAAGTGCTGGAAACAGAACTCCAAAGGACTTGTGTTACACTATGGGACTCACGCCTGAAATGACCCTGGCTCTTGCTGCATTCAGATCTACATGGAAAACTCCTCTCTCTGATGCCACTTTCTCTCAATAACCTCTTTTCTCTCTCACGCACATACACACAATAAAAAAACTCCTCAAGTTATTTATCCTACAGACTGGGCAAAGGGGGAGGGCTTGTTACTTATTTTTAAATACTTCTGAGATGCTCAGAGACTGCAGTGATGGAGGCATGCACGTACCTACATTAGACAGATACAGCCATCAGATGGCAATAATTTGAATGCCTGACTTAGAAGTGGCTTAACTAGTGACACAGCCTCCCCCACCAATATTATCACCAGTCTCCTAAGAAGCAATATTTACATAAAGCACTTGAAATTGCCCTTTTTAAACTATTTCTTCCTAAGTTACTTATGCAGTTGGCTCATTAGTGGTTACTTTTTCAGATTTCCAGGCCTGGTTTTTAGTGTACTCAGCATCGACGAGTTCTGGGTTCTCTCGAGACAGAACAATGAGGGGATCCCTCTCAGGACTTGTTCTGCAAGAGAAACAACATTCAAATCAGTCAGTGCCATTCTGCATGTCTCCAGTTCTGCATGTCTGCATGACAGCCAACTAACAATGGGATTCAAGACAGAAATACCTCCTGGTCTCTATCAGACTGGCTCTTGTGTGGCCTGAAGGCAATATTGCTAAATGCTGCTCACAATATCTGTAGGAGGACATAGCTGGGGGAAAGGGGGCAGGGGAAATGGAATAACTAAGTGATATTCCCTTATCCCATTTAGTTTTAAGTGGTATATTCTTTAAACATTATTCAGAACAAATCAGCAAAAGAGCTATTCTCTTAGTGCCTGATCCTGAGAGGTGCGGACTACTCTCGATTTATATCTAAATTATGAAGTTCAGAGATGTTTAGCATCTTTTAGGATTAGGCCCTTTGTTAGGAGAAAAATTAACATGGGTGTGACCTGAATGAAATCTTAATTCTCTTTGCCTCCTGAACACACTACTGAGAGTCGCACAAGTCTGTTTTCTTAAATGCACAACCTATAAACAATAGGAAAAAAATAGTCTGCTCCTCCCTTACTCCCCCCCCTCCAGGTATAATGGCTGTAAGGACACCTGCTGAGTCACTGCTGCAGAGAATTACAAAATAAAGCATAGAGATGCCCAAAAAGGAGCTATGATGATACCAGACAAACCTTCCGATGCAGATCAAAGTAGCTGTAGTTCCCATTGCAAGGGAAGCGAAATACAGAACAAAGAGTCCTTATTCAAACCCTTTATTAATTAAGAACTAAAACAGCTGAACTCTTCATAGCACACCCACCACCGCTATTGTTCTATGTATATCTTATTACACTAAATTAGTTGCAAATGGCGGCTAATGCTTAGCGCATGAGCCGAGAGGATGTTGTGCAAGGTGGTGGACCCAATTTGCTTTTTAGAAACATATTTTGGTTACATTTTTTGGTTAGGACTTAGAGAGAGAAAATGTCACAAGTCCAGACGGCTGACACTGTAAGGCGCTGCAGCTGGGAGCAAGCCTCCCAGCCCAGGTCGACAGATTCAGGCTAGCGGGGCTTGTGCCAGCACACTAAAAACTAGCTGTGTGGATGCTGCGGCAATGGTTGAGGCTCACGCTAGCCACCTGAGCTTGGATCCAGGGAGCAGGGTGGGTCTGAGCTCGGGTGGCTAGCCCAAGCCTCCGCTAGTGCCACAATGTCCACCGCTGCTATTTTTTAGCATGCTACGGCAAGTCTATTTATTCGGGCTGGAAGGCTCGCTTCCAGCTGCAGTACCCCTAAATGCAACCCCATGCAGCTCCACCGCTGCTCCTCAAGCTGAACATATTCTGCTTTCTTGCTGATTGAAGCAGAAACTAGCGATTGGACCAAACTCTGTCAGGTAGTTTTCCTCAGGAAGTGGACAGAAATAGCAGTGGCCACGTGGTGGGGTGAGGGGTGGAACAAAGCATTATTTGCTGTGCAGCAGTATTTCCCTTTGGCATGGTCTTTGCAATATCGCCTACACTTAGCACAGGAAATGCCATACCACTGCACATACTGCTTTTTAAATGGCAACTGTTGTGTCAAGTAGTTTAAGATCCCCAGAAATAAAAAGCTAGTGCATATTTTCATCAGCCTTATTTTGGTCTTAATTAAACTGGCACCTGTTGGCAGCCTATATTGCCAGAATATCCTGGAGTTGGAAAATGCGCTCACCTGGATCCTCGAAAATATCCTTTGGAGATTTTTTTCTTCCACGGCCATTTTTCTGCAGATCTGGAAACATTTTTTAATATGTGGGAATAAATAATTTAACACAAGCATGAAAAAGTGTCGTCAGTTTCTGCAGTATAGTCACATTTCATTATTCTTGAGGTTTGATGGGAACCAATTATTTCATTAGAGCTGAAAAACATCTCAGCTAAGCCCAACAAGATAGGCCTTTCCCACAGATGGTAGCTCTCTAGCCAAGATGTTATAGGGGCACTGTCAAGATAACAATCTATACACACAAAAACAAACTCTTTCCTGTGTTATCAGTAACACTGTGAATGATTGAAACTTAAATCATTTTAAAACTCCAGTTCACATTTCACTACTTATGCTGCCGCTTTACTTTTTTTGCATTTCACTGAGCATAGGTCATGCAAATCAAATGGGCAGTTTCTAGGCATTTTCACTTTCTACTTCTCTTGTACATGCAAAACACTGTTAAGTTCCTAAATTTGCTGGCTAATGTTTGCACAAACAACCTTCATTTTAAATTTAAACAAATCATTGAACCATCAGAAAAACAAAATAAAAAGAAAGTTTAAATATACTGTTTGTGTGTCTTATGTGTATGTTCACACCGCCACCAAAACACGTGCATGTCAGAATTGTTATCCCACAAGGTTAGTTTTTGTAATCCTTGTCCTTTCTTCCCCAATGTTTGTTGCTCTCACTCGTGTCTTGTCTAAAACATAGGTCCCAATCCTGCAGTCAGCTCTGTGTAAGGAGACCTTTGCACATGCATGGAGCCCCAGTGAAGTCACTGAAGGTCCATATGGGTGGAAGGATCTGCTTGCATGGATCTGATTGTACATTTTTTGAGGTGGAGAGCTATTTTTAAAAAATCATGTCATTAGATGCCTGGCATAGTTCTGTGCTCGAGTAAGGCATTTGATATGGTCTCGCATGATATTCTTATCGATAAACTAGGCAAATACAACTTAGATGGGGCTACTATAAGGTGGGTGCATAACTGGCTGGCTAACCGTACTCAGAGAGTAGTTATTAATGGTTCCCAATCCTGCTGGAAAGGTATAACGAGTGGGGTTCCGCAGGGGTCTGTTTTGGGACCGGCTCTGTTCAATATCTTCATCGACTTAGATATTGGCATAGAAAGTATGCTTATTAAGTTTGCAGATGATACCAAACTGGAAGGGATTGCAACTGCTTTGGAGGACAGGGTCATAATTCAAAATGATCTGGACAAATTGGAGAAATGGTCTGAAGTAAACAGGATGAAGTTTAATAAAGACAAATGCAAAGTACTCCACTTAGGAAGGAACAATCAGTTTCACAAATACAGAATGGGAAGAGACTGTCTAGGAAGGAGTACGGCAGAAAGGGATCTAGGGGTTATAGTGGACCACAAGCTAAATATGAGTCAACAGTGTGATGCTGTTGCAAAAAAAGCAAACATGATTCTGGGATGTATTAACAGGTGTGTTGTGAGCAAGACACGAGAAGTCATTCTTCCGCTCTTCTCTGCGCTGGTTAGGCCTCAGCTGGAATATTGTGTCCAGTTCTGGGCACTGCATTTCAAGAAAGATGTAGAGAAATTGGAGAGGGTCCAGAGAAGAGCAACAAGAATGATTAAGGGTCTAGAGAACATGACCTATGAAGGAAGGCTGAAATAATTGGGTTTGTTTAGTTTGGCAAAGAGAAGACTGAAAGGGGACATGATAGTAGTTTTCAGGTATCTAAAAGGATGTCATAAGGAGGAGGGAGAAAACTTGTTCATCTTAGCCTCTAAGGATAGAACAAGAAGCAATGGGCTTAAACTGCAGCAAGGGAGGTTTAGGTTGGACATTAGGAAAAAGTTCCTAACTGTCAGGGTGGTTAAACGCTGGAATAAACTGCCTAGAGAGGTTGTGGACTCTCCATCTCTGGAGATATTTAAGAGTAGGTTAGATAAATGTCTATCAGGGATGGTCTAGACAGTATTTGGTCCTGCCATGAGGGCAGGGGACTGGACTCGATGACCTCTCGAGGTCCCTTCCAGCCCTAGAATCTATGAAATAATGATTTTTTTTTAATGCTCCTCCACAGTTTTTTTTAAACCTGTATTTTGGGCCTCAATTATTGCCTTAGGAATTCAAGGAGGAAAATATTTAACCCTCGGGTCTGTTGCTAACAGATCTTTGCTTCAAAATGCTTTGCTTCCCACAGCATTCCTATATTTGCTCACCTTCCCATAGCCTAAGGGCAAGTCTACACTGCAAAATGAAGTTGACCTAGGTTATGTCGACATACAGCCGCCGCAATAATTAAATCACTTTTGCAGGTCCACACTACGGTCCTTGCGTCAGCAGTGCGTGTCCTCACCAGGAGCGCTTGCACCGATTTAACTGCCAGTGTGGGGCATTGTGGGACGGCTTCTGAAAGGCAGCAACAGTTGATGCAAGCAACGCAGTGTCTACACTGACCCTGTGTCGACCTAACTACATCGACCTAAGCATAACACCTCTTATAGAGGTGCAGTTAAGCTGGTGTAGTGGGCGAGTTACATCGGTGGGACTGACATTTTAGTGTGGACGCTTACAGAGTTAGGTCGACGTAAGCTGCCTTACGTTGACGTAACTCTGTAGTGTAGACCAGGCCTAAGTGCTGCTCTCTGAGGGAGACCAACCCTTAGACTGACAAAAGAATATCATGGCCAAATGAAAAATACCCTCTCACAAACTTCTCCTGTCTTACTAGTCAGTGACTCTGGTTCCCTAGGGCAGTGGTCTCCAAAGTGGGGTGCGCAAGAGGATCCTTGGGGGGGTGTGGCAGGAGGTTTTTTTGTTTGGCTTTTTTTTTGCTTCGGCAGTTTGGGTGGGAGTCCGAGCAGCTTTTTTTTTTTTTTTTTTTTTTTTTGTTAATGATAGAGGGTGCGTGCTCAAAATTTTTTTACTGATAGGAGTGCGCGATCAAAAAAGTTTGGAGACCTTAGGGTATGTCTACACTACAATCAGACACCCACAGCTGGCCCATGCCAGCTGACTCAGGCTCATGGGGTTGGGGCTGTGGGGCTGTTTAACTGCAGTGTAAACATTCTGGCTCGGGCTGCAGCACGAGTACTGGGAACCTCGCAGGGATGTCTATACTGCAATTAAACAGCCCTACAGCCCGCGTCCCACAAGCCCGAGTCAGCTAGCACAGGCCAGCCATGGGTTTTTAATTGCAGTTCAAACATTCCCTTAGATCAGTGGTTCTCAACTAGCAGTACGTGTACCCCTGGGGGTACACAGAGGTCTTTCAGGGGGTACAGCAACTCATCTAGATATTTTCCTAGTTTTACAACAGGCTACATAAAAAGCATTAGCGAAGTCAGTGCAAACTAAAATTTCATACAGACAGTGACTTGTTTATACTGCTCTATATACTGTACACTGAAATGTAAGTACAGTATTTATATTCCAATTGATTTATTTTATAATTATATGGTAAAAATGAGAAAGTAAATAATTTGTAAGCAAGTAGTTTTTAAGTGAGGTGAAACTTGGTGGTACGCAAGACAAATCCGACTCCCGAAGAGGGTAAAGTAGTCTGGAAAGGTGGAGAGCTATTGTCTTAGAGAAGTCCTGTCTCTTCTCCTGTGTAAAAACAGCCCCGAGCACAAGGTGATTTGGCTTCAGGAAAATAGACCTAACAGGCTTAGAAGTTATTGTCGCCATGTTGCATCAATGCTAGGAGGTTCTCTTGCATAGTTACGCTGAGCTGGTTTTTGTCTATGAAAAAAACTCCTCTCTCCTGAAACGTACCTTCGGAGGTCCTCTCTCATTAAGTCCCAGCGCCCAAGACCTGTCGGGTAAATTGGCCAAACAGCTGGTCCCCCTTCCCAAAACGTCCAGGCAGGATACATGATATCATGGTACTCAGAAGTCTTAAAAAACAAGAAAATCAGCAGGTACACGAGTGGCCATGCATTTAACCAAGTTTCACCCTCACTGTTAAGAAGAGCAGCAACTGGGTTTTGTTTAAAAAAATAAACAAAATAAACACACAAAGGTATTTAGTCAGCACACATGATAGGGACAATTCCTTGTAACTAGCCTGAACATAAGCTTCCTGCCCAGCTGGTGTTAAACAAGCCATTCTTGTGACTGGCCTGGCCTTCTTCTGGTTTCCAACAATCTGTAACATTTTACTTGGGGGAAATGTTTCAATCAAATGCCCTCACACATGCAGAGCATGGATTGCAGGTTTATCCAGGGGAGCAGAACCAAGCTTAGATTCTGTTTCTCAGTGTGTTGCCCTCACTTACCGCCCATCTCTCTGACAACGTAGCAGTGCCGTCCTTGTAGTACTGAGAGGCCACATGACCAACAAATAAAGAGTCTGGTTTTGTGTGTGTATGTATGTGAAGGGGAAAGAGGTGCTATGTGATTTGCTGGACAGTCAAACCCAGTATCCTGCCTTGGGCCATGGCTAATACCAGATGCTACAGAGGAAAGGGAAGAGAAACCCATAATGCACCAGATTAGTTGTGCAATGCTCTACACGGAGAAAAAATATTCTTCCTGACCACTAGCATGATCAGTGAATACCCTGAAGCATGGCTTTGATTACCTTTTTAAAAAGATATGAATTATGTATAGCTACAAATGTTATTATTGGTCATAAAATAGGCAGTACTGTTATGACCATTTCCTGCAACACTTTGCCATCGAGGCTGCTCATGGCTTCTCTTTAATCCACATCAGACTTCCTAGGGATCATCCTACAAGTCACCGTAAGGACATAATCCCTTAAGCGATGCCACTTAACTTCACTGGCCAAATGGCCCTTATCGCAATTGAGCATCCAATGGTCTATCAGCACTTCCCAATGGCTCTGTAGAGGCATTTGTACTACACCCCCAACTGGTATCTGAGCAGCTGGTTCCATTGGCCACATTCCCCTTGAAATAAAGAAGGAACTTCAATAAACTTCCATAATTTTTCACAGCTGTGATGTAATCCTGAGGCTACAGTTCACTGGTGTGAGCTCATAACTATGAGAAAAAGTTACCATTACTTTTCTGGACTATCAACCAAGAGGATTATAATATGCAAATTAACTCAAAGCAACTATATGATGGTCAACTGAGTTTTTAGTGAGGCCACAAGCCCGCTCCCTTAACAGTGATCTTAAAAATCAAACTATAACTTTATCAAAGATCTAAAGCTGATAATGAACCACAGGGAGAATGGCACTAAAACCAGTGGCGGTATGCATCACCCCACTGTTGGACAGATGAGACACTTATCTGGAGCATGAGCTTGTGAGGGGGTCATTCCCTTCAACAAATTTCTAATTCTTTGCACTGGAGAGCTAGAAGGAGAAAGTCTATAAATATGAAGAGCAAACAACTCCAGGTTTTGTATCTGAAAGAAAAGAGTAATTTTGACTCAGAGTCTTTGGGCATTGGAAAAAGAAATTACACTGTAGTAGTACCCCCACTCACTTAAAAATTCCTGTGTCCCATTAGGAAAGGAATTTATAGCTTCTTACTCTTGTGACTGCACTGAACTAGAGGATGAAATGCAGGTCACAGTGTCCCCCACTATCACAAAGGTGCCTGCGGACTCTCACCTTGCTGAAGGAGAATACTGGGATGACTGGCTTCATCCACTTGGGGACCTGGGGATAATCTCGCACATTGATCACCATCTCCATGTCCGGGAGGCGGCCGATGATCTCCAGAATGAAATGTTCGACCCCATTACATCTGCAGAGAATTGACATACAACGAAAAGGCTTGGTGTCACCAGGCCTTTGCTTCCCCCACTAGTTACTCTTCCGAAGGGGCAGAGCCGAAGAAGGTGGAAAAGAAAAGCTACAAGGGAGAACGAAGCTGGAGGACACAAACGCTGAAGTACGAGATGGCCGGGTTTGGGGCTAGTTAGAAACAAAGACAGTGAGGTAATTAATGATTTCATCTTCTCCATGAACTGTTGAGACTCTTCTGTCAAGTGGTACTGCTGCCTACTGCGTGGGTTTTTCTATATGTATTATAGATAAGGACCGACTTGAATCACGGGATGATTGTCAAAAAATTGCAGCTGAGTTGTGGACAAGCCATGGAAAATTGCAGAAAAGTAATATTTTTCTGCGATTTTCCACTGTCAGCCACCCAGGGCTGAGAGCAGAGGCTCCTGCTGTCAGCCCCACATACGGTGTAGCTCCCACTGTCAAAACTACGGTGGAAGCCTAATATTGCGGAATTCGTAATTTCCGCAATATCGCAAGTTAAGTAGGGCCTTAATAATAGACATTTACATAGTATCTTTCATCCAAACTCCCCAGAAGCACTCAACAAAGTGTACAATCTGTAGACAACAGACACAGCAATCACTCCACCCACCGTTGAAATTCAGGGAGGCAACATAATAACGGTTTCAGAGCGCACACCACTACTCAGCTGCTAGGACAGGAAATCAAGACTAACACATCCAAATGAAACTGCCTAGGGAATCTAGAGTGGCAGAATGTAATCATAATCATGCAGGGTAAACATTCCTACTCTGGCAGAAAAAACTGCCCTGGGATTATTTATGATGATAAGTGATCAAAATCTTAGTTTTATGTCTCGTTTGAAAGAGCCCATTTCAAGCGAGACACCAGGCTGGAGCTGGCTCTATGGCAGTGGTTCCCAAACTGGGGTTCGGGAACCCCTGGGGGTTCGCAAAATGTTACAGGGGGGTCTCAGGAAAAAAATTCCTAATGGCGGACAGAGTTGTCCCTAGGGACCCTGGGCAGCACGGGGCCAGCAGCCCGGAGCCCCTGGACTTCCAAGAGCTAAGCAGATCAAAGCAAGCATATCTATCACACTGAGGAGATTTAAACTTCAAGACTCCTTATAAGAAATGGAAAGGATGGTGGATATTTTTTGCTGGTTTTAAAATTAAATAGGCAGCTAGTATTGTTTTTAAAATTATTATGAAGAACAAGTTTAAGCTTTGTTGTAACGTGCATTGTTTGCCTGGACTGCTCAAGACCTGAATGCTTGTGTAGGAGGAACTCTTTGAGTTGGCTTCTTAAATACCTTCATGCTGTTTCATCAAGGAGTATCAGATGTGAAACTCCTTGATGAAACATAGGAGCCTTGTCTCATAACAGACTTATTCAAAGTGATACAAGCTATGAAAGTGAGATCTTGGAAGAGTGTTGCCATTTTCATAATGTAATAAAAATACTGTAATGATAAATAATAATTAATAATAAAGAGTGTGTAATAAGCATGTCATAAAAACAAATTTTATATTGCCAAGATCACTGCTCTTATAATTTATACTCAGGTAAAGGAGAAAATCCCTGGAAATATTCATTTTTAGGAGGGGGTTCGCGAGACTTGACATTTTAGTGAAAGGGGTTCACAGATTGTTAAAGTTTGGGAACCCCTGCTCTTTGGTGACTCAAAAGTGGCATGGCACCAACCAAATTATCAATACCACTTGCTGAAGAACCTGGGCTTTTACTAGAATTTCCCATCCAAGGACTGACCTAACCCAACCATAGGAAATTTAACGGGATAGCCCTTATTTAGCATTCACGTCCATCGCAGAGGAGTTCTTCATCTAATGAGTGACTGAGGAAGCCACAAACATAATGTAACAGATCAGAAGAGAACAAGATAACTCTGTTAAAGTGATTTCTCCTCAAGTGGGAAGATTCAGTCAGTGGGCTGTGCACTAGCAGAAGACACTGCAGTTCAATTCCTAGGTCAATCCTTTACTCTTAAGCACATAAGCAGGGAAGGACCCCTCATCTGTTGCTTTCTAGATTGGCAAGGGCCAGGAGCAAGCATCTCAGGTCACTTTGTAGCAGGGTGAAGTGATTTCAATTAAGACAATGTAATTAACTGATTTAAATCATATGCATTTTATTTTTTTAAAACAAACTATTTAAATCAGGTTGAGATTCTGTAAAACTAATTTGAAAATTTGTGCTACTGCAAATTTACATAAATATGTACAATGAATTAGATAATAAATGCTGGGTTTTTAAAAATGCTGTTACTGCTAGGGGATTTTAATTGTACAAAATTGCTATATAGAAAAAAACTCAAAATATTGAAAATGGAGGCTCTTAGCCTGCAAAAACTTGGGCACAGAACTTTAGAAACTTTAGTCACACAAATAGTCCCACTGACTTCCATTACTCAGATGCTTGAAGTTAAGCACATGCATAGAAGTTTGCAGTCTCTGAAGCTAAAACTGTATTTTCATTAAAAACTTCTCTTAGAAGCAATTTTGTCTTGAAGTGACAAAGATTTTGACACTATGTTACCAATGAAAAGTTATTTATACTTTCAATATACACCTCTACCCCGATATAACGCGACCCGATATAACACAAATTTAGATATAACGCGGTAAAGCAGCGCTCTGGGGGGGCAGGGCTGCGCACTCGGGTGGCTCAAAGCAAGTTCGATATAACGCGGTTTCACCTATAACGCAGTAAGATTTTTTGGCTCCCGAGGACAGCGTTATATTGGGGTAGAGGTGTATTAGCAAACTTATTGTGAACTTTTTAATACACACAAGTGAAAAGTTACAAAAATAGAGCCGGTACCCAGATTTATGTACCTACTGGTGGGATTTTCAAAAGCACCTAAGCAACTTGGAGAGCACGTCCCAGTAACTTCAAAACAGCAAACCCCTAATGAAGGAGTATAGTTTGGTCAAAGCATTTCAAGCTTTCTTGACTTTTAGGTTGTGAGAATGTTACTGAGGCCCTACACATGTTTTTTTTTCAGCACAGATGAGCATTTTAATCGTGGAACCTCCTTAGCAGAAAAAAATAACTATGTAAAATCTGAAATCCAACTAACAGTTAAGAAATGAATTAAAGAAACAATTACAAAAAAAACCCGTTTTAGTGATTAAAGGCCATTAAATAGGAAGAAAGTAAAAAACCAGCAATGCATTATAAAAAGACCATTTTTAAAAAAAATCATAATTTAAAACAAAAAATATATTTCTGAATTTTTTTAACCAAGATTTTCACCCACCCTGCTTTGCAGTAAACCCTCCTAGTTAATTGAGGAGCAGCACTGATGGACCGTGAAGGCATCTGCATCCAACCCTTTCCACTAAAGGAATGTTACTATGATAGAGGGTGTAAATGCAGGGAAAATGGATAAGAATCTTCCCTCTGGATCCTCTCACTCCATTGAACAAAAGAGCACTAAACTATCTTCCCACACTATAAAGGTAGCTTGGGTACAGTCACTAGCCCTCTCTGACCCTCAACCCAACCTTGATCCAGGCAACAATGAAAATTATCCCTTTCAGCCAACCTTGCTAACCACAAAAATTTAAGCCAGCCTTCTCTGGGACTCTAACCTCTTCTAACCCCTGGTCCAACTAATTGCAGTGCGTAGATTTCAATCCAGTGCACGCTTCATCAGGATCTTCCCTCACACAGTGGGACTGAGACCTGTCAAACACTCTTCTGCTCAGTAAGTGGTCACATGGCTGGTTCTGGAGTAATTTTTTATTTCCCTGTGGAATGGATGAGATTTTCTACATTGCTCTCACCTAGCAGGGAACATGCAGTCATGCTCACGGTACAACTTGTTCTTGATGATCTGGTAGTGCGTCCCAAGCTTCCGGCTAACCACATCGGACAGCAGCTCCTTGGAGATGCCTCCTTGAAAGAGAGCCAAGTCCTGCTCCCTAACACTGAGAAAGAAGAGACACCATCTTTCATTAGACACATTAGGGAAGATATTACATTCCCAGTTCTCATGTTTCCTAACTTTACTCTGATGGCTTTCTTGTTTTCCAAGTACTCCACTGTGCAGGCTGCACATTTTGATTCTTCCTTCTCTTCCCACCACTGTCTTCATTTAAAAGCGTGGTGCTGTTTAGAGGTATCAGATAAACATGGGCAGAGACTAAAGCCCTTATCCACAGGATTGTTAAAGCACAGGAAGCCAGTGATGCAATCCTGCTCTGGAGGGGCCATCAGCAGGAGGGCAAAAGGAGCGTTTAGAGTAGACTATGGTCCAGTTAGTCACCTGCTTTACTGCTGATGCTGCTAACAAGGAGAACAATTAGGAGGGTAGCTTTTGTGTGTGGACGTCCCTCCTCTAGGAAACAGCAAGAACCACCAACTAATTTTTTTAGAAGGCCAGCAATAGTGTTTCCTTTAATACTAGTTTTCCCTCCTTGGTTGAAGGTATGATAGCTTAGCTCTCAGCCACTTCACAGTTACACCCACCTATCAGTGCATGGCAAGAGTATTTTCTCTCTAGTGCCAGAGGGCCCCTCAAGCAACCAGGAAAAATGCCCTCACCTTTGGTAGCAGCTGCAATTCTCCCTTATACATGGTCTGTAGCCCTCCACTGCTCTGTCAATCTGGTCGATGAAATGTTTCCATTTTGCACCTGGAAGAAAGAAAGAAAGAAGAAAAAGACTTAATATATATAGTACATCCATTATATTATCACAGCAGCTACCAGGAGATGAATGGGTCTTCCAGTCCATGAAAGCCAGCTGGTCTGATGACAGCAATGGTGTGTGTCAAACACCACAGACCACTTTCTGTACTACTCTTATCCATGTGTCTAACACATTGCATGGTATTGCTGCCTCTAGGTGTGAGAGGGAGTTGAATGTCCATGTTTACTCAATTCATGACTTCTCCATTGAAACTGTCAGCAAGGGGGTGCCAGAGGTGACAGTGGTTCTTTTAATGTGGATTCCTCAATCCAGACTGAAAGAACAGACTCAATTCACATAAGCCACTGAACAGGCATTAGGTAGCAATGACTCTGGTCACTGCTAGAGAGAGCTGGATTTGAACCTGTGGTTTAAAGGAAAGTATTTTTACTTGCACATGCTACCTAGTTATAACATGATCCAATGGCTAGAAATTGAAGATAGACAAATTCAGACTGGAAATAAGACATCAATTTTTAAGGGTGAGAGAAAATAACCACTGGAACAATTTACCAAGGGCCATGGTGGATTCTCCAACACTGACAATTTTTAAATCAAGATTGGATGTTGTTCTAAAAGATCTGCTCTAGGAATTATTTTGGGGAAGTTCTATGCCCTGTGTTTTATAGGAGGTCAGACTAGATGATCACAATGGTCCCTTCTGGCCTTGGAATCTGTGAATCAGCTCTCCTTTGATTTCCCCCCGCTTCTGAGAGGGGCAGAGAGAAAGCTCAGTAACGTCTGCCCCTTACTCTCCTAGGTACCAGAGACCAAATCTTGGATTCTTGTCGAGGCATTGTCCTTACTCAACCAAACATCTAGATAAAGGGACATGTGTGATGTAGGTGCTGTACGTTACCAGTACTACTTCTAAGCAACTGGTAAATATGCACAGAGCCATCTCAAGAAGCAGCACTCTGCACTAGCTGGGCTACTCTCCTATTATAATTGTAAAATACCCCTGTCACTAGGGAGGCTAGCCTTTTAAGGGGAGTGAGGCTCATCCCGACCTGTGCCTAGTTTTCCACCTCCCAGGTGATGAGTTTGGATTTGGCTGGTGGTTGGGTCATGTGGTCAGGCATCACAGGATGGTAGCCTGGGGTGAGGCTTCATACAAGAGGGATCCTGATTTCTCAGGAATGAGAGATCAGGAGTCAGGGTAGGTCTTTTCAAAGAAGCCTAAAGTGGGTTGGCTGGCAGAGGTACCCTGCTTAGAAAAGTCTGGGGAGCTAAGGCCTGATACAAGGGTAAAGAGTAGACACAGACCTACAAGGAGGCTCCTGTGGGTGGATCCAGAGTAAACCCAGGGTCAGAGAAGAAGCTCTTTATACCAGCTGGTTGGAGCTACTTGCAATAAAGAACAGCAGCAAAACTCTTAAGAGGGAAATAGGAGTCCAGGAGAGGCATCATGAAGTGCTGAGCCTGGAGAAGTCTCTGGCTTTAAGTTAAACTACTTTATACTAATAAATCAGACCCCAGAGTGGAGAGTAGCTTCATTTGGATATAGTAGCATGTACTTCCTGTCCTAAACTCTCCCTTAGTGTTATTGTGTGCTGCTGAACAACTGCCATATTCCACCTTAGGTGACTGCCCTTCAGCAGTGGGTGAAGTGATTGATTTATATATAGTTTGCAAAAGTATTTTGGGAGACTTCTGGTGCTGTGCAGAGGCTCTATACATAATACTTTTTTGTATCATAGAAAGAGACAGATTCATGATGGGTGCCACACATAACACAGTAAATGACAGTCCCTGTCCCAAAGACCTTACATTCTAATTAAATAACAGAGGTAACCAGTCCCCTCTTTCCACCAGCAAAGGAACTGCTTCTAGAAACCCTGGTTTGAATTCTTCTTTAGTGACAAGTTTGTTTAGAGCAACAAGATTGTGATTTTACACGATCAGGAAGTACTTAATAAGATCTCTGAAACAGCCCAGGCAGGTATGAGAGGTGCAGGAAAACTAGGGATGCTGAGCCTGACTAATAGTGAGCGTACAGAAACAAGGCTGTCTCTGGAGTACCCCTCCCACTGCCTCATGGGCACCTCTGTTCTAATATGTATCTTGAGACTAGCTAAGTGCACCACTGGGACACGGCCGACCCTCGCAGCCCTCTGCCTGCCTGTGCTGTACGCACCGCATACACCAACCTATCCTCACCCAACCACACCCCCATCTCAGGACAGGCAAGACCTGTCCCACGGGGGCCAGTGTGTACAGCCCTAGCAGCACGTTTCCTACCCCAGAAGGACGTTCCCCATTTTAGGGGCAGGCGGCAGTGCAGGGCCGGGGCGCTACGCCGCAGAGAGCATCTGAGCAGGGTGGGTGGGTCACGGAGGGCTGCGAGGAGGCGGAGGGAGCTTGCACAGTGACCAGCAGGAGGCTGATGCAAACGGAAGGGGCAGCCTCAAAAGCGGCACCTAGGCGGGCAGAAGAGCCCACACGGGACCCGCCTGCAGGAGGGGATGGGGGCAGAGATGCAGGGGCCCGGGGCGGAGAAGGGACGGAGGAGAAGCCCGAGCCCCGGGCAGGGGAGGCACGATCCGGGAGAGGAGGAGCACGTAGCACAGCTGGGGCAGAACGACTGAGAGCCAGAGGCGGCAGCGGGCAAAGCAGGACGGGTCCCGGGGCTCTGGGGGCGGGAAATACCCCGCTCCCCAGTGCGGCGGCGGGGCTGGGGGAGTTGGTGCTGCTGGGAGGGACCCCCGCCCCGATCGCAGCTCTCACCTGCGGCGCTGCTCCCCGGGCTGAGGACAAGCTGGGACAAGGCAGCCACCCGCAGCGTCCACGCCACCAGCAGCCCCATTGTGCAGCCCGGCGGACAGTCGCCGCCCACTCACTGCGCGTGCGCGCCCCCAACCGGCCCCTCCACCTTCCACCGGGCCGCCGGCTTATTCAAGAAAAAAAGAAGTCGGCGGAGCGGAGGGCGAACAGCGTCCCGCACAAAGATGGCCGCCGCAGCGGGGAAGGCGGCGGCGCGCCCCGCACAAACATGGCAGCGCTAGTCAATTCCACATCGGCCCCATCGCTGCTGCGCATCCGGGACAATCTCGCTTTGCCTGCTGGGAGTTGTAGTGCCGGACGTTTGCACATTAAATCTCAGAGGGATTTGGGTGCCGCTCTGGTGCGTCCCCAGCCTCCCCCCCCCGCTCTCAGCCCTGGGCAAGGGGCTCACCCAGACCACAGCCCCTCCCTGCCCAGGGGTGACTGCGGTGTGGGTTGCAGCCCTGGAGCCCCTCATAAACCCTGCTGGCTTGGGTGTGTGCAGGGAGCATGTGAACGCCACCTGTGAGGTGGGTGGGAATTGCCCTGCCCAGGGCCAGCACCAGCCCAGCAAGCAGGTGCTTGGGGCGGCACGTCCGACTCTTCGGCGGCAATTCGGTGGCGGGTCCCTCGCTCCCTCTCAGAGCGAAGGACCCGCCACCGAATTGCCACTGAAGCGGCGGCGGTAGAGCAGATCGCGATTGTGGCTTTTTTTTTTTTTTTTCCTTTTTGCTGCTTGGGGCGGCAAAAACCCTGGAGCCAGCCCTGGCCCTGCCCTGCCCCAGGGGTACAGTTTGTATGTGGGGGTGCTAAGAGCCATCGAACCAAACTGTAAACCCTGTATATAATGGAAACCACTTCACACCAGGGGGTGCAGCAGCACCCCTAGTTCCAGCACCTATGCCCTATCTCCCCAATAGGGTGACCAGATGTCCCAATTTTATAGGGACAGTCCCGATATTTGGGACTTTATCTTATATAGGTGCCCCACCCCGTCCCGATTTTTCACACTTGCTGTCTGGTCACTCTACTCCCCATAGGTCACTGCACAGGGGAAGAAAGGGGGTGAGAGCCAGGGCTGAGGGATTCATTTCCTTGAAGCTAGTGCCCGGACAGTGTACTAGTGCTACTACTGCTGGAAGTCTGTGTCCATTTCTGGTGTCAACCAAGAAGGAAATTGGTAAATTGGAAAGAATTCAGAGAAGAGCCCCAAGAATGAGTAAATGATTAGCAAACATGTCTTATAGTGAGAGACTCCAGAAGCTCAATCAATTTACCTTAACAAAGAGAAGGTTAACGGCTGACTTGATCAGTCTATAAGTACCTACATGAGGAACACAAATTTGATACTGGGTTCTTCAATCTAGCAAACAAAGGTATAACAAGATCCAATGGCTAGAAGTTGAAGCTGACAAATTCAGACTTGAAATAAGGCACACATTTATAACAGTGAGGGTAATTAATTATTGGGAAAACTTAACAAGAGTTGCGGTGGATTCTCCATCACAGGCTGTGTTTTAAATCAAGATTCGATCTTTTTCTAGGTCAAACAGGAATAAATTCAGAGATGTTCTCTAGCTTGTGTTATACAGGAGGTCAGACTAGATGATCACAGTGATCCCTTCCGGTCTTAGGGCTTGTCTTCATGTATAGCACAGCAGTGGCGCAGCTGTGCCGCTGTAGTGCTTTACTGATGATGCTACTATGCTAACAGGAAAGATTCTCCCGTTGGTGTAGTTAATTCACCTACCTCAGAGGCAGTAGCTATGGCCACAGGAGAAGTTTTCCCATCAACATAGCGCTGTTTATATTTGGGGTTAGGTTGGTATAACTATGTCGCACAGGGGCTATGGATTTTTCACACCCTGAACAACGTAGTTATACCAAGAAAAGTCTGTTGTGTAGAGCTGGCCTTATAATCTATGTAGCTGTGAACTTGCTACCTATTTTTAAAAGTGCCAACCAATTTGAGAAGGCTGCATTACTGTTTTGAAAGCCACTTTTTTTGTTGGAAACCATTAGAGATAAAAATATTTTGAGAATGATGCCTTGTCCACAGTGTCTAGCAATGGCCTGTGTAACTATGTTATCTGAAACCGTTTTGAAGTATTCTGTTAATTATGGTGCAACTTGAATACATAAGGGAAGCAATGCATCTTCCTTGAAGGATGTTACAATCTGGATAAAAAGTTTCAGAAAATAGTCAACTTTTTAGAGTAACATTGGCCACTCCCTCTCCTTTTTTTTTTTTTTTTTGCCCTCAACCATCCCTTATATGTGCTTCTGACCCTGACTATAGACAAATATGGGAAACCCAAGATAGATAAGGCAGTCTCAGAGCAGATAGGAACTACCTTATTTTTTGAAAGCCGGGAGAGTGGGATTGCTGGGAAATGTAGTAATGTTGTAGTCCTTGCCTAGGGCAAAGCAAGCTAGGAAGTCAGGGAAGTATATGAATCCTGTCCTCTCCCAAGAGCAGGTCTACATTACAGGTGCTACAGTGGTGCAGCACCATAGTATAAATGCTTCCTACAGTGATAGAAGGGTTTTTCTATCTGTGTAGTTAATCCACCTCCCTGAGTGGCAGAAACTATGTTGATAGAAGAATTCTGCCATCAATCTAGGTGTGTTTACACTGGGGGTTAAATAGGCTTAAATATGGTGCTCAGAGGTGTGAATTTTTCACACTGCTGAGTATTGTATCTATGTTGCCCTAACTTTTAAGAGCAGAGAAGTCCTAAGTACAGAAATCTGGAAGGAGGTAAGTTGTACTGAGGGAGTTGCCCGAAAATTATCGGTATGTACAACAAGGTTTTTCATTGTTTTTCCTTTTGCTTTGTAATTTTTTTTTCTTAAATGCAGGTATCTCTGACACTGGTCTCATCTGATTTCTAAGAAACTACAGAGAAGCTGAGAGAATGCAGCAAGGAAGCATCAGGAATGCCCTGAACAAGCACTTAGTGTGAGGTCCTGGAAAGCGTAGAGAGACAGCTTTTGGGACAGGTTCTGGCTAAAAGAAGTATGGGACTATGAGGTTTGGGGCTGTGAGCAAAGAAACGGTCTCCTGTTGTTTAGCTCCTCCCATGTTCAGGGAAACAGAATGTTGTACATTCTCTCTAAATGAACAAGATTGCATTAAAGGTACCTGAACCCATCATAGATTTCTTCTAACTGGAACAACCTGCAGGGCCCCAAACTGTGACTAACCACTTAGGTCAAAAGTGGTAACATTACCTACAGTGAGAAATTGGAAAATCTAAGGCATTCCTCATATGCTGATCCAAAACTCTTCTTGGCATATGAGCCTCCCTGAAAAAATCCATTAGATCTGGAAAAGAATCTACTCCTCTCAATGGTCGTAGTCAAGAGCAGTCTTCTTGCTTTCTGTTTAAGCAGAATCAATTTTTCTGTTCCTCTTCTAAGCTGTTATTGTTGCAGCTGTGCAAGTGATGTGAATAGTCCTAAAATTAAGAACATAAGAATGGCCATATTGGATCAGTCAGAGGCATAGGGAAACCCAGAGCAGAGGGTAGCATCCCCGACTACCTTGGCTAATAGTCATTAATGGACCTATCCTCCATGAACCTATCTAATTCTTTTTTTAATCCAGTTATAGTTTTGCCCTTCACAACATCCCCTGGCAATGACTTCCATACATTGACTGTGCATTGTGTGAAGAAGTATTTCCTTTTATTTGTTTTAAACCTGCTGCCTATTAATTGTGGTGGCTAGGCTTATAAATCTTATAAAAGCTTGAGAACTCAAGCATAACGTGAATGCCTTAGATCTTTGTCACCTATATAGTTGCCCTAGACCCCATCTCTCCCTGGGCCTCCCTACACATCTGATCCAACTGCTATATTACTATTAATAGTGTTTTCTCTGCTTGTCTCCCATTTCAAGTTCCAGAACATATTTCCCCATTGTTTCCTCTGATCACCTACTTGTGGCATCCATGTCCTGTGTCAATGTTCTCATTGTGGTTGCCTCTCATAGGTTGCGTGCCAACTGTCACACAGCCTGTAGGACTGTAGTAAATGGCTCTGCAGCAGAAGGTTGTCATTTGCAGTGCTCTCTTTTAGGCAGACAGCAGAAGCTGTAGCCAGCAGAGATAGTCAATAGCCACTAAGTCTTTCCAGGGCTCAACTCATTTGAGGTAAATCTACCTTCATGGTCAAGTTTAAGACGAAACTCCTGTGAAGCTACAGATATACACTTCCCCACGCCCTCCAGCTTTATGTAATGAAAGTACCTCAGGTCATTGGTGTTTGCTTTTGGAATATGCAGCTTTTCTTAAGCTTGGAGCCTTCCCAAAATGACTTGGCTGTGAGCTTAATTGGAACCCCTTAATTCTCATTTCAAATACCAACCTTGCCTCACCTTCCCTCCTCTCCCCAATTTCCCTCCAAGCCTGGAGCTTTGTGGAAGGAACATCTGGCTGTTTCAAACATCATTCCTCCCTCAATTTTTCTGCCAGGACAAGTACCAGCAGAAACCCATTTTCATTATGCTCCATCTGCCTGGAGCAGAAAAGCCGTTGGCTGTAAACCTGCAGTGTGCAATGTCCTTGCCCAGATAGTCATTATGGCACAGAAGATGGGGGCTTGGGGAAGAATTCTGAGACCTCAGGGCCCAATAGAGGAAAAAGCTATAGGTAGTGCCCTGCTGCCAAATCCAGATCTTGAGTCTCTTCCAAATTCTGGGATCCTGGATTCACTCCTCATTCCTGGCATCTGCTGTGCAACAAAGATTCCCTCTCTCTTTGTCCCTTACATCAGGCTGTATTGAACAGCAAGTCCTAGGTATGCTGTTTGGTTCCTCAAAGAATGGACAGGCCTTTCCTTCAGCCCTTGACCTTTATTCATTGTCATGGGCCTTTTGGTGTTACATAGTACTGCCACCCCCAACAGTTCAAAACTCATGATTCAGATGCCCCCCAAAAGGAGATTTTTTAAAGAAAACCATTGTGATTCTTGGTTAGTTTTCAGACTCTTGTATGTATGCGGGGGGGAGGGAGGAGATGGTGACACCTACTGTTGTCATCTCTCAGTTTACAGTAAGTAAAGTGACTTATTTTGGGGAATGGGAAGGAGGCCACTGCGGGAGCTCTGAATGGAAGATCCAACTGAGATAAAATTACAAACTTGCCTCAAATACTGCCTGATAGCGTAGAGGGCTTCAAACCACAAATTTCCAATTACTTCTCTGCACTCCCAGCCCCACATCTGCCCCTTGGTCTCTGTGCACCTTGTCTCCTCCTTGGCTCTTAACCTCCCCCCCCTCACCCTGGGGTGGCATGCGGGGCACCTGCAGAAATTCTTCACC